GTCCTAAACCATATTACATCACTCCTGCCTCAGGGCCTTTGCACTGACTGTTCTTTTGTCTAGCTTTCTTTCCTGGCTCTTGAAATATCTCTCATGTTACCTCCTTGAAGAAGCCCTCCCTGACTCTCATAATCTAAAGTTACCCCCTCCCCCAGTCACCAACCAATCACTAACCATTGTCCTATTTCATTTATTTTTATAGCATGTAGCACTGCTTTTACTCTCCATCTCTTTCTTTTTTTAAATCAAATCAGTGGCTGGTATATAATAGGTTCCTAATAAGTATTTATGAAGTTATTGAAAGAACGGCCATGCGAAAGGATTGGTATTGCCGTGCAAAGAGGGATTCTGAGGTCGCATCCAGGCTCAGCGGGACAGAGGACTGTGAAAAATTAGCCACATCTGCCATGCGCAGGATGGGGGAGGGGTACCGTGTACACGTGGGCCCTGCACTGCCATATTATCCAAAATAGAGGGATGGGCTAGGGCTCGCCCCTCATCAGCACCCATCAACCAACTCACAGGCGTAGGCACACTCACTGATGGGGCTCCTTAGCTCCCCCTACCTGGTTCTTGGGGAGGGAAAGTGCATACAGAAAAGCAAAGCACTGCTGATAGCTGACACGTCTGATCTCAGAGTTAAGAGGCTAGAGATTTTTTTTTTAAATGTTTTATTTATTTCTAGGAGAGAGAGAGAGAGACAGCGTGAGCAGGGGAGGGCCAGACAGAGAGGGAGTCACAGACTGAAACAGGCTCCAGGCTCTGAGCTGGCAGCACAGAGCCCGACGCGGGGCCCAAACCCACGAACCGCGAGATCATGACCCAAGCGAAAGTCGGACGCTCAACCGACTAAGCCACCCAGGCGCCCCTAGAGATTTTTTTTTAAAGACTTTAATTATGATTCTCACCCTCATGTGGGGATGAGGGATTTGACTGGGGAGCAAAGCTTCCTCCACAGGGTTCAAACTTCATAAACCCAAACTCTACCAGCATCCCAGAGCCTGAGTCTGGAAGGAAGGAGTTCATGGAACGGAAGCAGGAGCGTAAAACCAGCCCCAGCCGTAGAAGATCTTCTCCTCCCCCTCCCAAGTCGTTAACAAAGACTGACACTGTAGTCTTTATCAAAAAATCTTGTTCCCTAAGTGGTGATACAGAATAATTATCTCAGCATGCAATCAGCACAGCGATCTTCTTCAAAGCAATTTGTAAAATTTGTGGCAAGGATATGCATTTTTAAAATAGATTAAATTTTCAAGAGCTCGCCTCTTAAACCTGGTCAGAATGTATTTACAACTCACCTGGTGAGATGATGCCTATCTCCAAGCTGGAATTCTCTTTCATTAGGCCTTACTTAATTGAATCAGGCAGAGTCATTTTGGGACGGTCCCAAAAGAAAACCTTTTATCTCAAGGCAAATGTGCCTTAACAAGGCCCTACAGGTAAATAAAGCCAGGTTTCCACAAACCCCAAGCCTCTGCGCCTGCTTTCAACAGCTTACCAGCCGACTTCATTTGTTTTTCTCTTAAGTGAGGAAATTGCTTCTGGAGTTCACTGTTGTCAGTGAAAGCAACAAGTTGGCCTCTCCTCCCCCCTCCCCTTGTAACTATTAAGAAACACCTTGTCTCCTTTCTTTTTTTCCTTCCTTCCTCAACAATTAAGTCGTGTATATGCTGGAGTGTGCTTGCAAGTCAAGAGGTGGGCAAGGTATAACCCGGAGCATCAGATTCACCCTCTGGTTGATTCCCACTGGGTGGACTCTAGAATTTAGGCTTTGGGCCAATCTTCACTGAATTCACTAAAGGTCAAAGAGGGTGACCCTACATTCCCCCCAAATAAGGTGTAGCAGGAGCCCACCTAATGTTTACCACGGGCTTCTTGGCTCAGCAGTCAGAACACCTGGGTTCTCCAACATTCATGTGCCCAACGCGGATCCTGGAGGCCAGCGTGGAGGCAGCGCTGGCCCCTGAGCCCCACTCTAGACTTGAGAAACTGTGAAGGGTGATTGTCGTCGTAATAACTACATACTTTCAAGAGGGACGAGTCCACTCCATTTCTAAAGCCAATCCCCAAATCTGAAGCGTGGCTTGAAGGGTCTTGTAAGTCACCTTACAAACGTCCCCTACCCCCATCCCCCACCCCGGGCCTCCCTGCTCCTGGCCCAGAAGAATCTAAGATTTGCCTAGAAAAGCGACTTGTCCTTCCTGGCACTTTTTCGCAGGAGGTCTCCTTGACGCAGCCTAAACTCGGGTTCCAGCAAAAATCAGAGGCTCCCGGAGCGGCCGTGACTCGCTCCATCACCAGCCAAGCTGCCCTGTGCTGGTCCCGAGCTGCCTGCCGCGCGTATCAAATGTCACTCGGGGATGACTAATCGCGGATGCCGATTAGAAGCCCTGAGCCTGACGGTAAACGAGCCCGTGCAAACTTAGCGCGAGTCATCTGACGGGTCACGTGGGCGGGGCGCGGCAGGCCGTCTCCCCTCGCCCGCGACCTGCGTGACTCAGTGCGGCACACGGTCCTCGGCGAAGGGCAGCGGTTACATAAACGCCAGTGAGCGCGCCCGGGGGGGGGGGGGGGGGGAAGCCGCGACCCACACACCTCCTCTTTTAGCCCCGGGGGGAGGGGGGCGCCGCCCCCCTCGGATTCCCGGGAAGGTCTGCGAGGCCGCCGGAAGGTTTCCAGAACACAGAAGCGGCCCCGATGCTCACGCGGGGACCCGGGCCGGAGCTGGCACACCCAGAAAAGACATCCTCCATCCTGAAGCCCTCCGGGATCGCCTGGAAAGCGATTCCTCCCCCATCCCAAAGCCGGCAGGGGCGGGGCGGGGCGGGACGCAGGACGCGAGGCCGGAGAGACTTGTTCTATTATATAAACTTGTAATTGGCTGCGGCTCCTGCGGCTCGATGCACGATGTTTCCAACCAGATGGATTGTGAGGCCGGTCAGCTTCCATTGCCCCTCCTTCCCGGGCCTCCCACGTCCCCTCACTGCTCGCTCGGGCCCCACCCTTCTGCCTCCCCAAGTCCACCAGAATTCCCCTTTCTTTCCAGGCCTCCCCAGTCTAAGGGATGGCATCCAAAAAGGCACTATTCGTTGGAAATAGTGCTTAACTATTAAACTAACGTGTACCCAGCTTGCAAATCAGCACGTAGGAGCATCTCACTAACTCAAGTGGAAACGGAGTGATCCAACCCCAGCGACCAGGCCTCAGACCTTTTTTGCATCAGAAGGCCCTGGGGGTCTTGTTAGTACGCAGGGCGCTGCGCCCCGCTCCCCTCCCGGGAGTTCTGCTCACTAGGTCTGGAGCGGGTGCAGGAAATTTGCATGTCAACAAGTTACCAAGAGATGGGCGCTCCCTGAACCCGGGGGATGGGGGGGGAGGGGGGCGGGTTCTACAATTTCTATTTTTTCTTCCCTTCAGGAAGGTTGGCCAACCAAATTAATGGTGCGAACAGGATGTCAGGAAGACCAACCTCCTCTCCAGGACTCTGTCGCGTTTTAGAAGTGTGCGTTTACAGACATGTTCCTTATAAATCATAACGGCCATCGCTGTGCGTCAGGAAACAGCTTTGCAGGAGCGCCACAAATTAGCAACCAGAAAGCTGGCTCATTCCAAGAGTTTGGAAATCCAGCGTTTTATAGTAGGAGGTGACCTGGGAGACTGGCCAGGCTCCAACCTCACCTAACAGGTGAGAACTGAAGGTCAGCAAGGCTGGTAGATTGGTGTAGAGAGGAGGGAAGGCCAGCGTTCCTGTAAGCAGGTGTACCTAGCTGCGTTTGTTCAAACCCCAGCTTCACCACTGGTTAGCCTGCAATTTTAACTTCCTTCTGTTTCCTAATCTGTACAGAAAGACCCAGGTTTATTTTGCTGCGGTATAGTGAAAATGCTGTCTAATGTTTAAAACCTGCATAATTCAAATCAGGTTTGCACCTGTGTCATATTATGCTCTTATTAGTATTGATCGAGACCACGGTGCTAACTTGCAGGTGAGCTAGGATTCAAACCCAAGCCCCCGGCTTCAAATCCAAAATGATTTTTTTTCACCATCCTAGTGTGTGGGGAATGTTTCTTTAAAAATATGTGCCTGAGGTACCTAACTTCAATCATTCCTCTGATGCTGAAGCATTTTTCTCCTGATCAGTACAAATAGTTGATGTGTGTTGGACTTTCTGGTTGTATATGAACCTGACTGAAGTAACCGTGCCAGCCCAAGGGCCCCCCAAGAGCCCGGAGGATTCAAGATGCTACTTTAGAGCTTTTGGTGAAATGCATACCCTGAATTGGCTCACTCAATCTCGCTGCTTTTTTAAAAGTGATGTTTTCGGGGGCGCCTGGGTGGCTTAGTCGGTTAAGCGTCCGACTTTCGCTTAGGTCATGATCTCGCGGTTCGTGGGTTCGAGCCCCGCGTCGGGCTCTGTGCTGACTGCCAGCTCAGAGCCTGGAGCCTGTTTCAGTCTGTGACTCCCTCTCTCTCTGACCCTCCCCTGCTCACGCTGTCTCTCTCTCTCCTAGAAATAAATAAAAATATTAAAAAAATAGCTTTAAAAAAAAAAGTGATGTTTTCAGTTGTTGCGGGGGGTGTGGGGGGGAGGTCGGACCTGTTAGCTAAATGACCCTCACCATTGCTCCATCCTAGGGCAGATATCCTTAGGACTGAAGAATCTTTGAAACTTCAGGCTGGAGCTGAGTATTGCCTACTCTGAATCCCTGAACAGCTGAAACTAGTGCCTAAATCACTTCCTCTGTGTTATTAGCAAACAGGGCTGCGAGGCACACCTTTGCACCCGCTTTTACCAAGCCCTCTGAGAGACCCCCTGAAGCTCAGAGAGTCACAGATCAGAAAGGGTTGGGGGGAGGGAGGAAAAGCAGTCAAATAATCAGGGTGACAAATTGGAAATACAGAACCCACCGTGGCACAGGGCGCCATCGTGGGTATGTGACATTCACATCCCCTCAAGAAATGAGATGCTAAATTGCTAATAGCCTCCCTGGGGTTTGGTTACCTGCTGCGACACCTTCTAGATTTTGTAGGAGTTTAGGCGCATTAAAATATCACAGCGTATGCTCACATGTGAGGCATCCACTCATGTCCTTGATGTTGATGCTGAAATTCTGTAACGAAGAAAAGCCTCTTTCCCACATAATCCAACTGCAAATTGGTATCAACAGGCACTTCCAAATGAGAGAACTGTTGCCAAGCACCGCTGTGACGTCAGAGGTTAAAGTTGTTAAAGTGATACACAGAAGAAGTTTTGAGCTGGTGATTTTAGGTCTTAGAATCTGTGTCTTTTCCACATTGTTTCTTTCTTCTCCCTCTCCAAACTGACTCTGACTTGGCCTTCAGTTTTATTTCATCATTGCTCTTATTTTTAACTTTTCTCTCTCCCCCACCCTCATCTTAGATTTGCTTGGCCTTTAAGATGGTGATTTTCCACTTCGGTTCCCATAGTTGGTTGGATTGTGAAATCAACAAGTCCTTTTATTTTTATTTATTTATTTTTAGAGAGAGAGCGTGTGTGTGCACGTGCAAGCAGGGGAGAGGGGCAGCGGGAGAAGGAGAGAGAGAGAATCCCAAGCAGGGTCCACACTCCGCACCAGCGTGGAGTCATTGTCATAGAGTGATCAATCACTTGTTTTCCCTTTTCATCTTGATATTTTCCTCCACGGTCAGTAGCTTTTTTAGCCTGTCCTCGCGCACTTTGACAGAAAGATTGTGACTTCGCTAACCTCTTATAGATTCAAGAGCACGGGTCCTATTTCTGGATATTTGCAAGTTAAGTTTTGATTATTTTTAATTTTTTTTAAATTTTTTTAATGTTTCATTTCTTTCTAGGAGAGAGAGAGAGACAGCGTGAGCAGGGGAGGGTCAGAGAGAGAGGGAGACACAGACTCTGAAACAGGCTCCAGGCTCTGAGCTGGCAGTCAGCACAGAGCCCGACGCGGGGCTCGAACCCACGAACCGCGAGATCATGACCTAAGCGAAAGTCGGACGCTTAACCGACTAAGCCACCCAGGCGCCCCAAGTTTTGATTATTTTGTAACAATTATTGATGTATGTAATATCCAGACCTGTCATTTGCAGATACATCCAGAGAAGTAGACTTGATATAAGACTGAAATAATCACTCACTTGGCTCCCTTTCAAGGGTGCAGAATGGTTGTTCCCCTCGGGGTAGTCACTTCGGTGTTAAAAACTTTTTTTATTGTTTCTGGCCCAATGGTCCTTCAGGGAAACTGGCCATGGTGGCAAAAGGTAAACACATTTGATCTCTAACAGTGTCACAATGGGAAGCAAGACCAGGCGCTCTGGAAGCCTGAGGAGGGGCAGCTAAGGATGGCGTCCCGGAGCAGATGGTACCTTTTGCGAGTGTTACAGGAAAAAGAAGAGGTTGATGAATAGAAAAGTCATCAGTCAGTTAAGATGGTGCTTTAAAGCCTCTTGTATATAGGTTAAGATCTTGTTTGTCTACAGATACCAAAGATTAGTTGCTAATTGGTAGTTGAAACAGGTAGAAGTTCATCTCTCACACGTACGCAAAAGCCAGAAGTGATATGGAGGCTCTGTAGTGTCCTCCACCCTACGTCCTTCTATCTAGTTGCACAGCTATGCGTGATCTCTTGGTCCAGGATGGCTGCAGGAGCTCCAGCCATGACATCTTTATTCCAGGCAGGAACATAAGGGTGAAAGGGAGGGAAGGAAGGAAGGAAGGAAGGAAGGAAGGAAGGAAGGAAGGAAGGAAGGCCGGCCGGCCTTCTCCTTTTAAGAGCCTCAAACTTTATTACATTGTTCCACAGAGCTGCAAGAGAGGCTGGGGAGTAAGGCTTTTAATTCAATGGCAATATGCCCAAGCAAAGTCAGGGTTGTTAGAAAGGGAGAAGGGGAGGTATTGGGAACAGTGAGCTGCCTCTGCCGGAGTGTAATTGTGGGTGGAGAGAAGACTGTGTGAGCAAAGGAGGGGAAGAAAACTTATCTTGTTTTAGGGAATAGATAAAGATAAGTAGGCCAATTTGGCTTAGAGTTCGGTTTGCTAAGAGATAAGGCTGGAGAAATAGACACATGCGAGGTTGTGGGAGGTCTTATAAGCTGTGCCCTGCTGAGAAGCTGGAAGGTTATCCCGAGGACCATGGGAGCCATTGAAGGAATTCATCCTTGAGGTAGAGGGGAAAGTGCACTGGGAGGTGAGGGCAGAGGCCTCATTAAGAGGTGACAGCTTTTCAGGAGAATCTATGGCAGCCTGAAGTAGGCAGTGGCATCAGGGATCTGGAGATGTGAACAGATTTAAAAGATATTAGAGAGGTAGAACAGGTCAGGTGTAGGCAGTGAGAGATACGTGACCAGATGGAGACACCCAGCAAGCTGGGCGGGTACACCACTCGCTGACATCACAGGGAAGGCTGGACAGGGTAGATGGAGAAGATGAGCTTGGTTTGGATGCTCTGTCCCAAACATTATATCTACACATTCAGTTTGGGTCGATCCCATTTTCTAGCAGTTTGGTTGAGGTTTCACTTATATACCATAAAATTTTTTAGTCAATTTATATAATTGTGCAACTATTATTCAGTTGTGGAAGACTTCCACTGTACCAGAAAGTTCCCCCGTGCCCATTTATAGTCCACTCCCTCCCACCCCTAGTTCTAGGGAATCACTGTTTTGCTTTTGGTCAGAACCACTTTTCCAAGTGTAAGTTCAATAAAACAGTGAGGATAGTGATTTCCTGGTGGGGAATCAAGGGGTGAGGTGGGGGGGGTGAGTATACACAAATTGTCTAGGAGGCTTTTTCAGACTGCACACCAGGCCCACACCCCCTTAAAGACTCTGTTCCCTTTGCAACTCCAACCCTCCTCCGTCATGAGCCACCATGTTCCAAATGCCAGATGAGATGGTGCCGGAAAACACACTTTATATTATATAACATATCACTTTTCAAGACCATCCCCTGGTTTTCCCACAGTCGGTGTCTCATCAGTACTAACCCCAGCTGCCACTCCTTGAATAGAATTTTTCGAGCACAGATCACCAGTTTACAAACCCAAGGGGTGTCCCAGCCTCCCTTGATACAATAACCGTATTTTTCTTTTTGGCTGTGAATAATTCCAAATGCAAAAACAGACAGATAATTCGTTTTAATGGCAGCGCAACCCTATTGAATCGTTTGAGGATACGTTGGTTTGAACGTCGACATTTGGTTTTCCCCAGGACAACTGTTTGATCAGGAGCACCTTTTCCTAGTGCTTGATTTGAAGCTTATTATAGATATCTAAAGTCTCCGAGACTCCATTTCCATTATATCTATCTTGAGCAATGTCAAGGTTTCTTAATTAGTTGTGAACACCATCAAAGCTAGGAATCCTAAGACTGCTGTTTTAAAAATGAGAATTATGCAGGCACTTTTTGCTCCCTTAATTGTCTCAAAGCATTAAAGATTCAAAGTGGGTTTTGGATGGGACTGTGGCTCTAACACATTTCCATCTCTCAAAAAGGCTTTTCCACCGTTCAAACCTCCCCCAATCTTTCTGTCACTTTCATAGATAGAAACCACAGGCTTTAAAAACCCATCATATCAAATATTCTTCAAATTCAACTTTCCTTCTAGCAAAGAGCGCTGGTGTAAGTAGCTCATTGAAATCAATACACAGCCTCTCCGAGAAATGTGGCCAAAAGGGGTTGCCATGTATTCCTTCACCCCCCAAACATTTTTGAGCGCCTTCTGTATGCCAGGTCCTGCTAGGCCGGGCACAGGGGACTCAGCAATGAGCAAGGCAGGAAAGGTCTCTGCCTTCTAAGGCTCACATTTTGGCAGGGAAAGTAAAAGACCATCACCAGGATAATTTCAAAGTAGTAAGTGGAGTAAATAAAACAGGGTGATGTGCTGGTGAGTGACCTGGGGAGGATCTTCTTAGGGGTCGTCAGGGAGGGCTTTTTGGAGGACGTGGAATTTTTGCTGAACCCCAAATGAAGAGACCAGGCAGTTGTGGTCAGGAGGAGGACACTCCCAGAGAGAGGACCCAAGAGAGAACACAGACTGGCACACTCAAGGCACTGCCAGGAGGCCAGAGGTCTGCAAAAGCATGATTCAGGGGAAGGGGTGGGGTGTGATGGGGTGGTTGCCAGGTAGGATCCAGATCAGCTCACCGGCAGCTCACGGCAAGGCTTTCGGTCTATTGTAAGAGCCACAAAAAGTTACTGGAGGGCTTGGGGCTGGCGAGTAGCATGATGCCTTTTGCTAGGAAAACCACCCTGGCTGCTGAGCGAAGTCTGGAGTGGGGCAGGGCCAAGGAGGAGACAGGGAGACAGGTTGGGAAGCTATTGCCTGATACAGGTGGGAGATGACCGTGGCTCTGAACTGAATGGGGATGACAGCAGGTAGCAGCAAGGAGGGAGGATTGGGGGCACACTTTGGAGTTAGAGCATTGGGCTGCAATGGGGGGGGGTGGGGGTGAGGAGAAAGGGGAAGCAAACATGATACCAAGGTTCTTGACTTGGATGACTGGATGGATTGGGAGGGGCAGGTATGGAGAGTGTGGGGAATCAAGAGTTCTGTCTTGGACATGTTACACCTGAGATACCTGTTCACCTACTCCTTCATTCACTCACTCACTCACTCACTCAGTCAACTCTTCCTCAAATATGTCCTCTGTCCCAGAGACCAAGCATTTTCCCTGGGGTGATAAAGATAAGCCAGAGTCCCTGCTTTCCAGGCGTGCCTCGTGTTACAGAAGAGGCAGATTTGTCAGAAAGGGTGATGATAGGGGTGATCAGCGACTTCACAGAGGTGTGTTGGTGCGCCAGCCATGCCTGCTTGAGGGTATGACCATGTTGAGGTTAGACATGCTCAGGACAGCTGGGCTCTTGAGGAATGACAGCAGCTCCAGAGTTTACCAATAAGGGAGATTTTCCTTGGGCACTGGAGATGGTAGCCATGGGAGTCCGTAATCCAGCTCCAGGAGGGAGGACCAGGAAAGTGCCGGGCCCTCAAGAAGCCTTGGATCCATGGTCACTAGCAACTCTTTTGAACCTGAGCCAAACTGAGACACTTACATGTACTGGATAACATAGATTTAAAAAAAAAAAAAACATTATATCAACAAACATGCTATTCTGTATTGGCCCCAAATAAGAATTCTGTAAAGGGGGGCGCCTGGGTGGCTTAGTCAGTTAAGCGTCCGACTTTCGCTTAGGTCATGATCTCGCGGTTCGTGGGTTCGAGCCCCGCGTCGGGCTCTGTGCTGACTGCCAGCTCAGAGCCTGGAGCCTGTTTCAGTCTGTGACTCCCTCTCTCTCTGACCCTCCCCTGCTCACGCTGTCTCTCTCTCTCTCTCCTAGAAATAAAAAAAAAAGAATTCTGTAAAGGAAGATGTATTTTTCAATAGTCTTTCTGGAGGTGTCTCATGTATAGGGGAACATAAGGAAGTTAAGGAGCTTACCCAGGGTCATTCAAGGGGTAAGTGCCCAGCAGGGATTTCAGCCCAGGAGGCCTGGCTCCAGAGCCCAGTCTGGCTCCCGCTCTCAAATGTGCCATCGTGGAAATTAGCCAGGGAAGATGAGGACGTTGCAGAACACTGTGTTTGGCATGACCTTGACTCCTTTTATATTTACAGGGGGAAATGGCACTTGACCACAAATGTACATTCTGTGGATAGAATTTTTCTAGGAGGATTGAAAAAAAATACCTTAGAGGTCACTTTTGGGGGGTTGGAATAAAGTTAGACAAAAAAGAAACTTTAAATTTTATATCCTTCTGCTGCCTAGATTTTTAAAAAGTAGAGGACATTAATTTAAAATTAAAATATTAGGGGGGTGCTGGGTAGCTCAGTCAGTTAAACATCTGACTCTTGGTTACAGCTCAGGCCAGGATCTCACAGTTGGTGGATTTGAGCACCCCATCAGGCTCTGTGCTGATGGTTCGGAGCCTGCTTGGAACTCTCTCTCCCTCTCTCTTTGCCCCTCCACCACTCATATGCAGTTTCTCTTTCTCTCTCTCTCAAAATAAATAAACTTAACCAAAAAAAAAAGTACTTTAAAAATAAATGAATAGGGGCACCTGGGTGGCTTAGTTAGTTGGGCATCCGACTTCAGCTCAGGTCATGGTCTCGCAGCTCATGAGTTCCAGCCCTACATTGAGCTCTGTGCTGACAGCTCAGAGTCTGGGGCCTGCTTCAGAATCTGTGCCTCCCTCTCTCTCTCTCTGCCCCTCCCCTGCTCATACATTGTCTCTTTCCCTCTCTCAAAAATAAATAAACATAAGAAAAAAATTTTAAGCAAATAAAATTAAAATATTAAAGTTCAGTAGTCTAGGCAGGAGCTTGCCAGCATCCATATCCATCTTGCCTACCTCCCATTCCACCTTCGTGGAATTTTTCAGATGCTGGGTTATTTTCCCTCTGGCAACTGTCCAAGCCCACTTTGCCATTGCCCCAGGGCCTATGTGGGTAGAAAAGACAGTTTCACTTTTGGATGCTCATCTTTTGAAAATGTAGTTCCTGAACCTTCTTCCTGAAACCTCACACCAAACTTTGTTGCTCTCAACTTGGAGCATGAGGTCAAGAGAGAGGTCACCGAATTATTTCATTATTGCCCCAAGAGAAGCAATCTCTACCATCTCAACCGGAGGGATTTGCAGTACAGGCCAGAGACGGTTTAGGGGTAGAAACCCTAAGTACCAGAAAATCCTGGATGACTAAGGATAACAAGAAAGTACAGATAACCCAAGTGGGGCAACTTCAGGGAACAGTAAAGAGGGAAGCACCGAATGAAGTTCGAACATTTCTTTCCTACGTCCCTTACCTGATACCATCTCGGTGTGATAAATACCTACCCACAGATGTGCAAATAGGTTTCACCACAAGTGCCAAATCTACTCAATCGCTATTTCCTGCCAAGTGCCACAAAACTGAGAGAAATTCTGAGCCAAAGTCTAAGGTCTGCAGGAAAAAAGGAATCAGTAAATTAGTGATTGATTAGTGATGTCTGCCACAGGCCAGGTATTGATAGCTAAGGTGTGGGTGCCAGGTAGTGCTCATCCCTGTTTGACTTCAATCCGGCCTTCTTCAGCTTTTTCTTCAAATGAGATGAGTAATTCAGATTCTCCCCGCTGATACTTATCTCAGTCTTTCCCCTACACACATAGCACTTGGTTCATACTTCTGGAACTACACAGACCACAGCCTGCCTCGTGCCGGATTCAGTCACATGTGTGTCTAGTTCACCTCTAACTCACTGTCCCTGAGGGCAGCGGTCATGTCCTTGCTTCCATTCCCAGTGCACTGTCAGGGCATTCTGCACAGAGCACACAGAGAATGTTTGTAGGACTGGTCTACGTGGCATGGGATTTTGGTGGGGCCCCTGAGAGAGACGAGAGCAGCCTGGAGAGATCTGAGGAATCAGCAAGGGAGAGGAGAGAAGCTACCGAGAGGGAGAGGGCCAAGTCAAAACACCGGTGTGTAAGAAATGCCCATTCCATTTACTGTCCTTTGTATTTGTTTTTCTATGACGGTGGTAACAAGTCGCTGCAAATGTACTGGCTCAAAACCACAGATTCATGATCTTAGAGGTTAGAAATGCAACCTGGGTCTCACTGGGCCAAGATCAAGGTGTTGGCAGAGCTGTGTTTGGTCTGGAGACACCAGGATTGGATTCCTATTGTTGTCTTCTCCATCTTCTAGAGGCCACCTGCATCCCTTGGCCCATGGGCCTCTTCCTTCTTTAGGCCCATAACATCTTCAGATCTCCTTATGATTCTCCTCTTCCGATGGTCTCTTCCACTTTTACATTTTTTAAAATGTTTATTTTTAAGAGAGAGAGAGAGAGAGAGAGAGAGAGCAAGTGGGGAGGGACAGAGAGAGAGGGAGACACAGAATGGGAAGCAGGCTCCAGGCTTTGAGCTGTCAGCCCAGAGCCCAATGTGGGGCTCAAACTCATGAATTATGAGATCATGACCTGAGCCAAAGTTGGACGCTCAACCGACTGAGCCACCCAGGCGCCCCCCCGCCTCTTCCACTTGGAAAGGCGCTTACGATTACCTTGAGCCCACCACTGGGAGATTCCAGGACCATCTCACCATCTCCAGGTCAGCTGATTAGCAATCTTAATTCCACCTGCATCCTTCATTTTCTTGTGCCAGGTAAGGTGGCACATTTACAGGTTCTGAGGATCGGGGTGGGGACACTTTTGGAGGCACCGTAATTCTGCCTACCGCAACTTTAAATAAATTTACAGACAACTCTGACCCCTCAGCTGGTACGCGCGAGGGGACATCTCACCCGACTCGGAGTAGGGGCTCCCTCCCGTCACCTCCTGGAGACCGTAGAGGCCCTCCTGCCCCTCACGCTAACATCATGGCGGCATCGCGCAAGAGGTGTGTTCCCCGCAGGGTGCCTTTCAGTTTGGTAGCATGGTCCAGGCTGGCACCTCAGCGGAGAAGACCCAGCATCCCTGAGACCCCAGAGGGCTCTTCCTGCCCTTCACAGACGCTCTCCTCTCTCCCCTTCCTGCTTTGGGACCTCCCGCAGAATCTGCCCAGGGCGCTGGGAGTGTTTCAGGACAGGGTCCCTCTCCCCCAGACACACACGCTTTGCGCTTTTAATGGAGCAAAAATCCCTGACGTGAGATTTCCAAAGGCCCTGACTGCTTGCCTGGAAACGGGGTGGGGGGTGGGGAGACACGGAGGAGGAAGCATACATTAATACCTCAGAAATGTCTCAGGCCGCACCTTTCGCCCAGTTCTGCCTGGGGCCCCCGTCTCTGCCCCATAAATGCCTCGTTCCAGCGCTGCCTGGGGCACTCTGCCCGTTTGGACGGCCCTGATGTGGGGCTCCCTCGGCCCTGGGGGGAAGGCAGCCCCCCTGTCGCTGGCTGCAGGGATCCTAAACGGCCAGGCCGGGCCGGGCACGTCAGAGCCTCCCCGGGGAGCCGCAGGGTGTTTACCGGCTGGCAGGGAGGCCGGCCTCGGCGTGAGAAGAGGCCTGTTTGGAACAGAGCACCCGGAAGTATTGAGGGAGGGCCGGCTGCCGACATAGAGCGGTCATTAAGGAGAGGTGGGCAGCCGTTGGAAGTGGGAATATTTAGTAATGGCCCGCGCACAGACGCCGGGTGGGGAGGGCCTTCCTAGAATGTGCTGTTTTCTGTTTGCTTTGTGGGGGAGGCGAGTCTGCGGGCTTTTTTGGAAAATGGGGATAGAAATGATGTGAATTTAGTGCCTGTGAGAGGCAGAGGAAAGCCCTGGGAGCAGAAGTCCTTAGCGGAGCCCCAGGGGCGCAGGTGGGCCTGGCTGTGACCCCCGTGCCCTGCGGTGGGGACAGGGCCTGGGGGAGGAGCCCGCAGGGTGGACAGAGCCCAGCGACACGCCTGCGCTACCCAGGCCGCCCCAGAACCCCAAGACTTCGGATTTTTCCAACTGCGATGTCCTTCGTTCCACCAGCAAAGACCAGCAAGGCAGGCTTTTTTCTTTCCCTTGTAGGACTCATCTTAAAGTTCCAAACGGTCTTGGGGCACCTGGGTGGCTCAACAGGTTAAGCGACCGACTTCAGCTCAGGTCATGATCTCACGGTCTGTGGGTTCAAGCCCCGCATAGGGCTCTGTGCTGACAGCTCAGAGCCAGGAGCCTGCTTCGAACTCTGTGTCTCCCTCTCTCTCTGCACCGCGCCCCCCCCCCCAATAAATAAGCATTTTTAAAAAGTATAAAATTCCAAACACTCTAGAAAGGTCTTTACCTTAGAGTCTGAGGCTTAGATAGATTTTCATATGTGCTCCTTGAGAGTATTTACAAAACCTTTCTGAAGTTTTTGTTACTTTTATGCATTGACTTGACTTCACCTGAGGCATGGGTAGCTGAATCAGAGTTTCCTGACATTGGAAGCCGTAAGTTGCGGTCATGTTGCTTGTGTCTGCCCAGCGTCCCTTTCTTTGGGGCAGATTCCCTCTCTAATCTATGTGGCCCTGCTGCTCCATCAATCACGAGACTCTCATTTACCCTTCAAAGAAATGGGCGTATGACCCGGGGTAGACATGGTGATTGGTCAGGAGTAGACACATGACCCAGTCTTGGCCAACCACAGGACCACTTCCTCTGGATACTGTGATTGACCTAGGATGGATACATGACCCAAAGAAGGGCAAAGAGAGTTCCTTTAGGGAATAGCTGCGCATGACTTTGAAAAGAGGTGGGCTTTCGGGGCGCCTGGGTGGCTCAGTCAGTTGAACGTCTAACTCTTGATGCTGGCTCAGGTCATGGTCTAATGGTCATGGGATAGAGCCCCAAGTTGGGCTTCTGGCTGACAGGGGAGCCTGCTTGGGATTCCCTCTCTCTCTGCCTCTCCCCACATGCTAAATCCATAAATAAGTAAGCGGTGGGCTTTCTACTGGAACTGTTAAGGAGCCATCTGGGCCATCTCCCAGGCCACAGAAGGGAACCTACCTGGAGTCAGAGACAGGGGAGCCATGGCACAGGAGAGGAGAATGGGGACAGGGAGGCAGAAAGACCCAAAGTCATCATTTGGGCCCTGGGAGGAAGCTCAGCGTGGAGTCGGCAACACTCTTGGACTTTTTAGTTGCATGAAATTCCCTTCTGATGCGTCACCTATTTTGAGTTGGGTCTCTGTCACCGCCAGCCCAAAGTTGCCAACACATTTAACAAATACATTTTGTAAAACAGAAAGTTATTTTGTATCTCCAAATGAGCCTTGAGAACATTGTTTGCCTCGTTTTGTGTCTTCACTCAGAATGTCTCGGTTCTCTGTTTGCCTGGTGTGTGTTCTTTTTTTTTTTTTTTTTTTTTTTAATATTTTTTTATTTCTAGGAGAGAGAGAGAGACAGCGTGAGCAGGGGAGGGTCAGAGAGAGAGGGAGACACAGACTCTGAAATAGGCTCCAGGCTCTGAGCTGACAGTCAGCACAGAGCCCGACGCGGGGCTCGAACCCACGAACCGCGAGATCATGACCTAAGCGAAAGTCGGTCGCTTAACCTGTTGAGTGTTCTTAACCCCACCTCATAAGTCCTGTAGCATCGAGGCCAGACTTGTCCTGCTCGCGTCCACACGCCCTTGGCCTCAGCCCTCCTGGCAGCATATGCAGCTGGGAGCACACAGCTTCAGGGAGCTGCCCTAAGGTTGACGGTGATGTGCCCAGGATGAGAACAGAGGTCTGCTGACCTCTTGTGCCCTGATGCTCCCGAAGCTGCCCCAGAAGAGTGGAAAAGAAAGGAAGTTCATCACCACGAAGCAGCATGGTGTAGCACTTGAGGAAGATCATGGCTTAGGGGAGGGGGGGGCAGAAAAATCGTGGTCCGATCCCAGATTTACCAGCTGTGCAAGGTTAGCCCTGTTCCTTAGGTTTCTTGAGCCTCAACAGCCTTATCTGTTCAATGGGGCTGATAAGAACGTCTAACCCACAGGGCTGGCCCAAGGGTTCAGTTCTGATTGTTACTAATAGACCCCAGAGCCTAGAAGCAAGAAACTTGGCACAGAATCTCACAGAACGATGACAGTCCAGTTCAGCCCTTTTCCTGTGTAACTTGGTCAAATGACTTAAGGCCTCTCAGCCCAGTTTTCCTTCCTGAGACAGGGGGATGATAAATACCACCTTCCTCATATGAATGTGTGAGCACTGGATGAGAAACGGTGCTGGTAACATGGACATAATTGTCAAATGTGCACGGTGAGTACTCACGGCACATCAGCTCTCGGCTCTCAGCGTGGCTCTTTCCCAACAGATTACAGTGGAGCCACCCCCACCGTCTTTGCCAAGTTTCTCCCAAGCATGAGGCGCGGCAGGGGGAGCTCTGCCTGAAGTTGGGGGGGCGGTTAGACATTCTGCCGCTGCCACAGTCCCCAACCCTTGCGTGCACGGGCACTCACACTTGCATGGGGATACCTGTGTCAGGGGCCTCTGCCTTTTCAGGGACAGGCTGTGACTTCTCAGACGGCTGGATCCGACATTTTCTACTTGCTAATTACATATTTTAATTCAAATGGAATATCCCGATGCCTTGCCCAGAGAGTTTCTCTCGTGTATCAAATAACACGCTCTGCTTTTCCAGGTTAAGTAATAACATTTCCTTGAAACTTTACTGTTTTTAAACAGGATCTATTTTGAAGTGTTTAATTAACTTCCAGTGTAGAAATAAATCAATATAATTACTTTCTATGTAACTGGCTCAAAGGCAATCAAATATTACCTTTAACCAACTGTGTTTTGATCTGATGTGTATTTGATAATTTAGACATTGCGTAGTTTCAGATGTGCTATGATTATTGTAAGATGATTCGGCACAGTGTATTTTATTCTGTTCAGAGAAAAGCTGATACCCTGGAAACAAATGATTAAGTTTGTATTTTTATAAGAAAACCAATAGGCTTTTTAGTAGCTGTAAAGCTAAAAGAAAAACAAATAAATATTGAAATATTGAAAATTTTTAATGTTTATTTTTGAGAGAGGGAAGATGTGAGCAGCGGAGGGGCAGAGAGAGAGGGACACACAAAATCTGAAGCAGGCTCCAGGCTCTGAGCTGTCAGCACAGAGCCCGACATGGGGCTCGAACTCACAAACTGTGAGATCATGATCTGAGCTGAGGTTGGACGCTTAACCAACTGAGCCACCCAGGCGCCCCTAAATATTGAAATATTTAGACATGCCTGTTTAACCATTTTTTTTTCTCCTCAAGGATGAAAATATGATGAATTGGTAGAAGCAATGGTATTTCTAAACAATGTTTGTTGAGAGGGGAGGAAATCGTAGTCTAAACATAGACTTGCAAACGGAGGAAGAGAGAAATCAGAGGCGAAGGAAGGTGTTGTGCATACACAGCACCAGTGCTGGTTGTGGCTCACCTTGGCACAGAGGAGCCCCGTGCGGACCTGCCCTCAGACTTGATGGGCAGGCAGACGCAGGAGTGAATGAAAGTTCCATTCACATGGCTCTTTTCAGCCTGGAATCAGAAAGGACTGCTCGGAGCCCAGGTCAATGAGCCGTGGTGTAACCGCAGACAGGCAGCCACCTCTGAGACGAAACACAAACCCAGGTTCTTGCCAGAATATTCCACCAAGGGGACGGGCAGACACCACACACATTTCCAAGTCGCCGTGTGCTGATTTCTAGCGCTTCTCTGTCTGTGCCAAATGGTTTGCCCTCTTTGTGTTCAATGTAGCACTTTATCCTAAGCTGCCTTGTGCCTGTCACTGTTCTGTACCTCTGAATTTTCTCCCCCAGCCTGGTCGGGAGGCAGAGTGGGGCACTGTAACCAGCTGAGGTTCTACAACCAAACAGACTAAGCTCTGATGCCCAGCTGAGAGCCTTAACCACTGAAAAGAATTTACTACATGCTAACTGTCTATGTGCTTGAACATTTGACTTTTTATATCCGCTCTGGGCCTCAGTTTCCTCATCTATATGTGACACTAACACCTGCCCTACACATTTTTTTTGTGAGGATTAATTGAAATAGCCCAGGAATGGCAACTAGCCCACAGGTTTGCACCTAGTAGGTTCTTAATACATATCAACTATTATTACTTGTATTTTTATCATCATAGCTGAAATAAATGTGTGGCTTTCCAAGGTTTTAAAGGCCCTACTTTCAGGAACAATGGTTGCCCAATCAGAAGCTTTGTGCATGATGTTAAAAAATGAGCCTCATTAAAAAATAATTCCCAGGCTTCCTGGGAAGATCACAAGGTAGGAAGACCCTAAATTCATCTCATTCCACAGATGCAACTGGATAAAACCCACATCAGTATAAAT